AATTTTTTGTAGAGAGGGGGTTCTCACTATGTTTTCCAGGCTTCTCTTGAACTCTTGGCCTGAAGTGATCCACCCACCTTGGCCTCCCAAAGTGCTGAGATTCTAGGTGTGAGTCACTATGCCCAGCCTGTTTTTTTCCATAGTAATTGTCACCTTCTTCCATACGATACAGTTAACTTATTGCATATTCTGTGTATTGTTTATTCTGTTTTTAATCTCTATTAAACTTCACCAGGGCAGACTTGGGGAGCAGGATGCCTATTTAGTTTACTAATATTTCCTAATTCCTGAAGCAAAGTAATCATGCAAACAATATTTGTTGAATAAATGTTTATTATTCTGTTTTTTCCACTACTGGTTTGAAGTTTAGCACTGTTTCTGTTTTTATCTAGATTTTTAACTTTCAAACATTTTACCAAAATCTAATGTTAATTAATAACTGTACCTTTTCTTACATAATAGAAGAATATTAGGACACTTGGACTCCTTTTACCTCCTCCTACTGTGATGTTATTATATTTTTACATTATTTGACTTTAATCTTGCCATTTGTTATTATTGCTTTGTACAATCAGTATTCATTTAGATTAAAGCATATATAACTTTAGGTTTTTCATTCCTTCTTGCAACTCAAGACAGGCCATCTGAAAACACTTATATTCTGCCTGAAAGATACTTTTTAGTATTTCACTTAGGGAAAGGTCTATGGTAACATATTTGAAGTTTTTATTTGCCCCAAAATATTTTTCTTTTGTTATCAATTTTAAGAGTTATTTTTGCTGAGTATAAAGTTCTAGGTTGACAGGTATTTTTTCTTTCAGCATATTAAAGATACCATTCGATGGTATTCTGGTTTCCTTTGTTGCTCTTAGAAAGTCAGTTGTCGGCTGGGCGCAGTGGTGCACGCCTGTAATCTCAGCACTTTAGGAGGCCAAGGTGGGCAGATCACAAGGTCAGGAGATCGAGACCATCCTGGCTAACACAGTGAAACCCTGTCTCCACTAAAAATACAAAAAATTAGCCGGGCGTGGTGACGAGCGCCTGTAGTCCCAGCTACTCGGGAGGCTGAGGCAGGAGAATGGCATGAACCTGGGAGGCAGAGCTTGCAGTGAGCCAAGATTGCGCCACTGCACTCCAGGCTGGGTGACAGAGCGAGACTCCGTCTCTAAAAAAAAAAAAAAAGAAAGTTGTCAAGCTAACTACTGCTCTGTTTTTTCTGGCTATTCTTTAGGAATTTTCCTTTTTTTTGGTGTCCTTTTTCTTTTGTGTAGTTTCAGTATGATGTATTTGATGTATTCATTTAAGGATTTATTTTTATTCTAATTGGAGCTCATTGGGCTTCTTGCATCAGTGAATTGTTTGTTATTTTCAGTGGTTCTAGAAATTATCCTTTCATGTATTTCCCCTTACCACTATTTCTGTCCTCTTTCTGGAGCTTTGATTAGACATGTTATACCCCCATACTGTCCTCAGTGTACCAAACTTACTTTCCTTTCTGGGCTGCATTTGGAATAATTTCTTAGGACCTAACTTTCAGTTCACTGATGACGCTCTTCAACTTGGTTTAATTGTTGTTAAATCGGTCCTGTAATTTTAGATTTTAGCAATTGTAGCTTTCATTTCCAGAAATTTTATTTGGTTCATTTTTAAAAAGTGTCTCCTGTACTACAGATATTTTTTTTGTATGTCTTTTTTCAAACATACTATTTAAATCTTCATCTGCTTAATTTAGTATCTCAGACTTTTTGCAGTTTTCTTTCTGCTTAGATATTTCTGACTTTTTGGGGTTTTTTGTGGGGGAGGGTGAGGATGAGTTATTCACTTTACTTGGAGAATTAATTATGATTGTCCTTTGAGGCTTGGGATTAAGGTGTTTGTTCCTCCAGAGAGAATTTGCTTGCCTGCAACATTAAAGGCTCTATGTTCAGGATCATTTCAACCTAAATTCGCAGCTTGATTTTCCTTTGGACTTCCAAGAAATGTAAATTTGGGCTGTAAAGTTTTGTGAAAGCTTCCTGTCGGTTAGAACTTTTCAGGGACTCTTCTCCCTTCTCTGCTAGTCACGAAGTAAACCTTCCTCATAGTCTTTTGAAGATGGTAGGAATAGAAGATAGGGTAGGTTATTTTCAGCTTATACTGATAGGTTAATGCAGTGAGAGTATCCTGTTGACTTCTCACCATGGGCTAACCCTGGTATTTGCTTCTGACCTGCTACCCCATGAGCTGATCAAACCAAAGCTCAGTGTCACAGGGTTAGAGTTTGGGCCTAGTTACTCCTTATAATCTCGGCAACTTTTAGGTTTTTTAAAGAAAGTCTTTATACTTGTTCATTGAGTATTTTTCTACAGTAAGGTTGATTTATATTAATTATTCTCCAATTTAGACATTAAGCTTGTTTGTTTAGGATTTTGCTATTTCAAATAACACTGTGATAAACTGATTTCATAGGTTAAAATGTTATGTATTAATTCATATTGCCTTGGTTGCTATCATGGTGGTACATTTTCCAAATGTGAAGAATCCGTTCTTAGTCATTCAGATCCGAAACGTTTTTCTTAAAGGTTTATGTAATTGCCTCGTTCGGAAATGAAGATATGAATCCATCGTCTTAACGGGTTACTTTGCTATATAATGTTTCTGTTTCTGCTCATTTAGGGAGTGTGGATTATATAGACACTTGAAAAATGCATGTTTTATCAAATTTTAGCAAATGTTCTAATTAATCTTATTTTACATGGAAACAGTTATTTAAATTTGGTCTTGATAATTGTTTGCCAGTCCTTTTATGTATTTCTATTGAATGTTCTATGATAGTTATCTCAAAATCTTTCCTAATTTCTCTCAAATCTGCTTGCTAGAGCTCTCTCTCTGCTCACCCTTTCTGTAGCCATCTGTGTTAGCCACTTTGCTATGCTTAACAACTACTCCCCCTCATCAGTGGTTGATAGAAATTAATGTTTATTTCTCTCCCATGCCTCGGCAGCTGTGAAGAAGCTCTTGCTGCCATCCTCCACTTGTCTTTTTTATGTAGGGCCCATGCTAAAGATCACTCCTTTTTGAGACATGGCATTCTTGTGGCAGAGAGTCAAGAATAAGGGAGCAGGTATAAACCTGTAATGCCACTTGAAGGCTCTGTGTGGAAGTAGTAACATGTGTCATTTCCACCTTTCTTCTTTGGGAAAAACATCACATGATCAAACCCAGTGTGAACTGCATGGAAATGTGTGCTCTTCCACCAGAAGGCATTGCAAGTCATGTTTGGCCAGTTATATAGAAGTGGACAAGTGAATATTGGCAACAATAATACAATATCCACCATCTCTCTCCTTATGTTTAACTTTGTTTTTAGCCTTTCTAGCATAGATGTTCATAATTGCTTGTGTCTATCTTGAGGTCTCTTTGTGAAGTCTTCCTTTGTGCCTTTAATATACTCTTTTCTGTTGTAAAAATGAATCATTTTACCTATGTATGATCTTGAGCTTACTTGTGTGTAAATTTAGCAAAGACAAAATCTTGTCTGTTTTGTTCAAACTCCTCACTAGAATGCTTAGCTCATGATATGCTCACAACATGTATTTGTTAAATGGATTTTACTCTCCCTTCTTACTTCATCAATTATTCTGTCAGTTTCTCTCATTTTTTGAATCTCAATGTCAATTCTCTCTGCTAATTCTATCCCTGCAGTCTCTTGTGACTGTATTTTCTTGAATTACTGTAGTTAGTTACATATTGAATAAATTATAGTAAATCTTTTTAATGAAGAAAATAAAATTATATGAGTTTTTAACTCCTGGCAAATAGAGCCTACATACTTGTGCCTATAAATATGGTCATCTCCCTATCATTAAAAAGCAAACTCCCCACTTTGAGGTTTGCAGTCCAACCTCTCACTATTTCTATAATACTGTTGTTTACCTTTTTCATTTCTCATTCTCTGTGCCCTATATTGAAGGTCCTCCCCATCCCCCTTTTGAAACTGTTCCTCTAGATTCTAAAGTACTATAATTCCTTGTTTTTTTTCCTGTTTCTAAGGCTAGTCTCTTTCTCTTTTCTGTAGCATATTCCCTTTCCTTCTATTGCTTAAGTGTGCCTATACCCGCAGGCTGTATCTTTAGCCTTCTTCATTTCTTGTCTCCTGCCATTTTTAGTGGAGCTCTCATTTGTATGACTTTCACATTTATTTCTATACAGGTAATTCACAAATTTATGTGTTTACTTATAATAATCTGACTTTGCTCCCTTATTTCCACTTTTGGCCATTTCTATTTGAATATCTCATCATCATCTCAAATTTGATGTTCCCCCAAACCAAATTAATCATTTGTCTACTAAAACTGACTCTCCATTGGAACTGACTCCCATTTTTGTTGATGATACACAGTCACCAGGCTTCTTAAAGGAAGGAGAAGACCAGCATTTGTTTAGCATTTAGTACACACTAAATACTGTGCTTCTTTGATTACATAATATCTGGCTAACTTTTTACCTCCAGTGAAAACTTCTCTGACCAGTCACAGCGAATCCTCTGTGATCACTTCTTATTCCAGTTGTAATACATTTGAATTTGTACCATTCGACCCTCATCATGAATCTCCTATAATTCGTACTTTTAGTTTGTAAGCCTCTCAAAGGCAAGAATTTTAACTCCTTTTTTAAAATCAGCATAGTTACTCCACAGATACAGATTTAATAACATTTAATAAGTAACTGATTTTTCATTATGAAATCTTGCTCTAAATAAGAGAAAGAATCTCAGGCTAGTCCAAAACTAAGTAACAGCTAAACTGTACTCTTGGTCCTTGAACCCAATTGAAAGGGGTTAGCCTTTGGAAGTGGCAGAGGCTCTTAATTTATACATTAAAGATCACTTTTGAACAGATCTTTACTCCGTAACAGAATCTCTTTGTTAGTAATATACTTTCATGGAGCCGTTTTATATTGCTTTCATAACCGTATTTATAGAAGGCAGTGTGTTTACTTTAGCTTCTCTTTCCCATTAGGTGCACCAGGTATAATTTCTTCACCATATGCAGGGGCTGCTGGATTTGCCCCAGCCATTGGATTTCCTCAAGCTACAGGTGATTCTTTTAAGTTGGATTTGAAATGACTTTTAATGAAGTTGTGTATTTCCTGGGAACTTATCAAGATGAAGAATGTTACTATATTTGAAGAATTTACCATAAAGCATTACACATATCAGCTGTAGAAGTGTAGTGATTTGTATGATACATAGCTTCCTTGTTATTTACAAATTATTCTCTCTGGTCCCATTCTTAATTCCAATAATCCATTATGTGTTCTGCATCATTTTTGTTTGCTTTTGGCACAAATAACTGTAGGCTAACTACATGAAATAACCTTAGATTTGCCTTTCCAGTTGTTAATATAAAATGTTTAAGTTGCTTCTGTCTTTACTGATAAGCTTATCAATTATGTGTTGAACAGACCTGTCTTATCTTTGTGCCTTCAATGCCTTTGACAGTACTCAACAAATATACAGTCATACTATACATTCACTATTCATCTTCAGAAAACCTTTTGTCATTAATGGGTTTTGAAGATTACCGTACAGGGGTATGCATGCTGTTTATTTCAGGGGATGTATATTTTGTCTCTAGCTAATGGAGGTAATTAAGAGATAGGAGTTGATTAATACTTTGATAATGACTCCCATTATTTTCCAAATAGTAAGCAAAATGAATTTGATTAGGGCATCTAAAGAAAACACTGAGGTTGGTGATTAGGGGAATGACAGAGTGGTAAGCCTATTCCATGTATTTCCACCTTAAACGGATTCGTGACCGTAACTACATTTTAAATTGCAACATAGCTGCTTTCTGGCAGTAATCTTTATATTCTAACCTTTGAATTCTGGGAATTTTAACTATTCTCTCTTTCTCTTTTTTTTTCTTTTTTTTTTTTTTTTTTGTTGTTGTGAGACAGAATCTCGCTCTGTCGCCTAGGCTGGAATGCAGTGGCGCAATTTCGGCTTACTGCAACCTCCACTTCCTGGGTTCAAACGATTCTCATGCCTCAACCTTCTGAGTGGCTGGGACTAGTAGCTGGGACTAGACGTGCATGCCACCACGCCCAGCTAATTTTTGTATTTTTAGTAGAGATGGGGTTTTGCCATGTTGGCCAGGCTGTTCTCAAACTCCTGACCTCAAGTGATCAGCCTGCCTCAGCCTCCCAAAGTGCTGGGATTAAAGGGTGAGCCACTGCACCCAGCCAGTAACTACTCTTTTTTTGATGGAGAGGATGGAGTTAACAGAAAGAGTGATATGAAGGTTGAGGTTTTAAATTTTACCATCTTGGTGGTTTTTAGTATATCTTAACATATATTTAATTAAGTGAATATTCTACCTGTCATGTTAAAAATATAGTTTTATTTATTTGAAGCTCCTCCAAGTTTAATAATTGGTGGACATTTTGATATGTTTTCCCTCATTTTGGATATTTCTTTTAGATATACTCTTTGTATTAATATTAAGAAAGACGAAAAGTGAATAAAAGAGGGCTTCTGACTTGAGAAGACTTTTAAGCTGATAGAAGATAAACACACACACACACATCCTACAGTGTAGCTGAACTGTGCTCTTAGCTCATGTATAACAGACATACAAACAGCAAAAGTTATGCAAAAGTGTCAGGGTTGGACTGCTGGGGCATGGGAATATGTCATGTGAGGGCTATTGATTTTGTGCAATAGTATTCAGCCTGGGAATGTGGTCTGCACAGTTTTAAAATTCAGCAGTATGGATGATGGTAGTTATAACCTTCTTAGATTGTCAAGCAGAATAGGCTGAATGTAAAATATATTATAATTTAATTACATGATATGTGGTAAAGTGGCCAGACTGTTTATTTTAAAGAATCATTAAATTAAGGAATTGGTTCATTTTGCATAAACTAGAAGTTTTACCTTAGACAGTTTTTAAGCTGAGAACACAATATAGTGGGAAAGTGTGCTGTTTTAAGTATAGTGTCAGTATTCTGGTGTTACTGAGCTTTCAGTATTTCCATAATACCTAGAGAAGTAGAGAGCTCAGAACATTTCTGCTATAAAAGAATATTGAATTTTGTAAATTTCTATTTTGGTCAAAATAGTATTTATATAGCATTTTATACAGTCACAAAATGTTTTTCCCGTATAAAATGTCATATAGCACTACCTAGCATGCATGTTTTTGACTTCTGCTGAAGGACTTTAAAAAAATACACATCTGATTTTATGGTAGAAGTCAGTATGAATGAGGATGTATCTATTGTAAGAAACAGAGGGAGTGTTTGTAGTTGACAGACCCTCTGAAAAGCCTAACAGCGTTAGGCCCAGCGAGTTCAGTTACTCTGCAGAGTACTATGTGAATAATAGAGCACTAAGTATAATGATGTCTGCAGATGAGGAGCTCAGCTTGCAGACAGACTGTGCAGGGCAGAAAACTGGCCTTCAGTATCTTTATGGTAGCTGTGACACATTTTCTTTCTGTATTTTTCCTTTCCTCTTTATTTACTTAAATTCTATCAAGTGTTACAATTCTTCAAATAATTAGAATATGAAATGCTTCTGGTATTTTTAAAAGGTCTATCAGTTCCAGCTGTTCCTGGAGCTCTTGGTCCTCTCACAATCACCTCCTCTGCTGTCACTGGAAGGATGGCCATTCCTGGGGCTAGTGGTATACCAGGAAATTCTGTTCTACTCGTCACGAATCTCAATCCTGATGTGAGTTGAAAAGTATTATATGTAAATAGTCTTTCAGGAGAAGGTATGGTAGCGCTTTTTTCTTTCTTTTCTTTCTTTTTTATTTTTATTTTTTTTGAGAAAGGGTTTCACTCTTTCACTCAGGCTCAAGTGTGGTGCTGCAGTCACTCACTGCGACCTCTGCTTCCTGGGCTCAAGTGATCCTCCCACCTCAGGCTCTCAAGTAGCCAGGACTACAGGCGCCCACTACCACACCTGGCTAATTTTTTTATTATTATTATTATTTTGTAGAAACAGGATCTTGCTGTGTTGCCCAGGCTGGTCTCGAGTTCCTGGGCTCAAGCGATCCACCCACCTCAGCCTCCCAAAGTGCTGGGATTACAGGTGTGAGCCACCATGCCCAGCCATGGTAACTTCTGATCCAGGGTTGTATTCAAATTAAAATGCTTAAGTTTGTTTTAAGAACTTATATTAAAATTCATCACTAGTATATACAGAAGAAGCATATAAAACCATGCTTTAAAATAAAAACAACTGTCATTACAGTATAAACTTATTTTCAATTTTTCCTTAAATTATTGTCAGACACTTATTTTGTGTTTTTACAGCTTATCACACCACATGGGCTTTTTATCCTATTTGGTAAGTTCATTTTTGCTATTTTAATATTGTCTACAGGTGTGAATTAAGCACATTTCACTTATTTAGTAATATTTATTAATTACTTCTATGTGCCAAGTATTGTGTTGACACTGAGGATAAAACAGTGAATAAGACTTAGTAAGTAGTAAGTAGCACATAAACTGAAATATATTTATAATATGGGAAATAGAGGTTTTGTAAAGGGAGTGTAATGCAGGGAGACCTAACCTAGCAGAGGGACTCAATAGAAATGATAGTTAAACTGACTTGTTAAACATGAGTGAGAATCAGCCAGGCAGAAAGTGGGGGCAGTGTCTTCACAGAGGAGGGGAGAAGGGAGAGATGGGTCCTGGTACATGGAAGTGAAGGAAGCCCAGTGGTGAGCATAGGCGAGCATAACAGAGACCTGGTAAAGGTGGACAGCCGCATAGGGTCAAAATCGTGAAGAGCTGTTGAAAGCTTTTTTAAGGAGTTTGGCTTTTACCTAAGAACAATCGGAAGCCATTGAACAGTTTTAAGGGAAGAGAGAAGAGAGTGGCATAGTGCGATTCAGGTTTTTAAAATAGTCTCCAAACTTTCTAACAGCATGGAAATACGAGAACAATGAAATAAGCAATATTTACTATTTTAAAGATTTTTATTAATGAGTTTATTTTTCCATAAAAAGATTAACATTAATGAACAGTATGATTTAATATGCTTTGATATTATTAAAAATCCTTGTTTTCATTTTGATTCAGTATTCCAAGGGTAGATTATTTTACTACTTGATTTTAATGTTTGTCATAGCTGAAGAAGATAAATCATAAAGATACATAATCTAAATGCAGGGGTTTCATTATTGCTGTACTTCAATAATTATTTCATTAATTTTTTCATGTAATCCACCAATGTTTGTCATGTTTTATCTAGAAAAGTTAGATTTTTTCCTCTTAAATCAGTGGATCTTGAAAACTGTTATATTTGAATATGTCTAACAAATAGAGTTAAAACTCACTGGTATGCTTCATTTGTAAGATTTTTAAAATAAGATAGAAAATTGTTTCCAAATTTTTTGAATGTGATAGTTTTAGAGACAGGATCTCACTCTGTTGCCCAGGCTGGAGCGCAAAGACGTGATCATAGCTCACTGTAGTCTCAAACTCTTGGGCTCAAGCAGTCCTCCTCCCTCAGCCTTCCGAGTAGCTAGGATTATAAGTGCAAGCCACAGCACCTGGCTGATAGGTTTTTTTTAATGGAATTTTTTGAGATGTAATTTACAACCATACAGTTTACATGCTTTGGATTTACAACTCAAAAGATTTTTAGTAAATTCACAGTTGTGTGGCTATCACCACAGTCCAATTTTAGAAAATTTTCATTGCCCCAAAGAAATTCCTCATGCTCATTTGCAGTCACTATAACACTTTTTATTAATGATTGATGTGTGTAATTTTCAGTAATAAAATCATGTATTAATAATACATTTTAATATGATTCTTTTCTAGCCAAAGCATGTTTCATACTAAAAGTAGTTAATTTCTCACTCATTTAATAAACAGCTGGGTGCAGTAGCTCATGCCTGTAATCCCAACACTTTGGGAGGCCAAGGCGGGAGGATTGGATTGTTCGAGACCAACCTGGGCCAGATAGTTGGACCCCATCTCTACAAAAAATAAACATCCACATTTTGTAAAACAAATTGTGTATGTTTAGTTTTTAAAAAATAGTTATGTCACCATCTAGTTATTTCTGAGAAGGGTAGCAAATTCGGAATACTTGTCTCTGTTTTAAATTTTTAAAGTGCCGTTAGTATGATAATGATGCAGCTAGCAACTATTGAAAGATCTTTTTTTTTTTTTTTTTTTGAGACAGAGTCTTTCTGTCACCCAGGCTGGAGTACAGTGGCACATTCTTGGCTCACTGCAACCTCCACCTCCCAGGTTCAAGTACTTTTCCCACCTCAGACTCCTGAGTAGCTGGGACTGCAGGTGTGCGCCACCATGCCTGGATAAGTTTTGTATTTTTTGGTAGAGACGAGGTTTCACCATGTTGGCCAGGCTGGTCTCGAACTCCTGACCTCAAGTGATTCACCCACCTCGGCCTCCCAAAGTGCTGGGATTACAGGTGTGAGCCACTGTGCCCTGCTGAAAGATCTTATTTTTATAATATTGATGATACCCTGTAGCACATAAACTGAAATATATTGTAATACACTGAATGAATAAATCAAGTGAGACTGGAATTGACAACTAAAACCTGTTGGCTTTAATTTTATCTATATATTAAAAATTCAAAAACTGTGGTTTGTTTATATTGGTTTATATAAGCAGAGTAGTATAGATAAGAGTTGGATTATTATCTTTCCATACCCCAGTGAATCATTTTACCCGTCTTTTAGGATACGGGACCCACTTTGGGGAACACTAGGGTAGAAAAATCAAGGGTAATAAGATCATTTAGAATCAATAAGGTTGTGGTAGTCCCGGTATGAAATGGTGTTGATAGCTTTGATGGTAGTGAGGATTGGGAGAGGTGGAAAAATGTGAGAGATATTTACACCATAGAATCAATGGGTGCTGGTGATTGATTGGGTGGGTGTGAGGGTTTGAGGAAAGGAAGAAGTCAAAAGATGACTCCCAGGTGTCTGACTGGAGCAACTGTGTGAATGATGGTATTTATCTACAGCCTTAGTGAATACTGGGAGTGGGGAGAGGAAAGGGGGGATGAATCATTTTGGGACGTAATAAGTTTAGAGTGTTTATGGGTTGTCCAAGTGAAAAAGAGTAAGTACATGAATAGATCTGGAACTTGGAAGAGATAAAAATTTGCAAGTGTATATATGGAATTGCCAAGGGAGAGTATATAGTATAAGAAATGCCTTCTTTAAGTGTATTAGTCAAATTGATTAAACACAACACAATCAGACATTAAACACAGTATTTTGTTTTGTTTTAATTAGGAGTCTATGGTGATGTACATCGAGTGAAGATTATGTTTAATAAGAAAGAAAATGCCTTGGTTCAGATGGCAGATGCAAATCAAGCTCAGCTAGGTACTAATGATTAATAATTAATAATAATGCGAACTTGCCCCTTCTGTTGCCCCTTCTGTGTGTGAATTTTCCTTCAAAATAAACAAACACAGCTAGTAGGAATATGACTTTGTAAAAGAACACCTCCTTGTGATAATGCCTTCATAAAGCATCTGTCTATATGTTAAGATTAAAAAATATTCATTACTCTTTTAAGTCTGAAGTTCATTTGTCTACTTGAACATATTGTTAATGTCTAGAGCTTTGACCCTAGGGTTTTTCCATTAAGTTTAATAAGCATGATTTGTTTTATTTATTTTATTTATTTCTTTTCCTTCCAAATTAAGTTTTCTGTAACCATTGAGTGGCTTAAAAGTTTGGGCAAACTTTGTAATGATGATGCAAGAAAGGGTTCAATGGCTTCACTGTTAAAAAAGCTGTAAAGTTTTACTCAAAATTTCTTATAAAAATGCCTTGCTTGAGTCAAAACTAATATATTCAGTAACCATTTCATGAATGCTTACTGTGTTCCAGGCACTCTGAAACTTCATAGCACTCTGCTCAGAAAATATTTTTTGTTTGTTTTAAATTGCTTTTCTTATAGTAAAATAAAGTCATTTAACATATTTCCTTAAGGGTTTTGGGGTTTTGAAACCCTTTTCACCCTCAAACTGGCAATACAGTTTTAAATAACTACATAAAAATAGTTTATGGTAATGTTGACAGATATTACTGAGAAATCTATCCTAATACTCGAACTTTAAAAATTTTCTTCCCATGCGCTAGCAATGAACCATCTAAGTGGTCAGAGACTTTATGGGAAAGTGCTTCGTGCTACACTGTCCAAACATCAAGCAGTACAGCTTCCTCGAGAGGGACAAGAAGACCAAGGTCTGACTAAGGATTTCAGCAATAGTCCTTTGCATCGCTTTAAAAAGCCGGGCTCTAAAAACTTCCAGAATATCTTTCCACCATCAGCCACTCTGCATCTTTCCAACATTCCGTATGTACCTAATAAGTTATTAATCACTTAGATTATTAATAATCTACAGTATGTGATTTGGGAGAGGTTAAAACCTCTGAAATTGTTCTAACCTAGCAGTTGTCCTGGTCTTTATTTGCCATCATGCCTTCAGAAGGTTATCTCCAATCCTACACTCTAAAATAGAAAGATACCTGTTTTAAAATTTTATTTCCAAATGGAGAATTCACAACTAGTTATTTTTCAGTTATAAAAAAGTCATAAAAATAATTTTAGGCAGAAGTATTCCATTGGCACATATTTGTCCATCCCTTTGAAGAAGTAATGACTCTTACGTTAACCAATATAACAAAATCAAATAAATTGTGTATCTAAGAATTTGGTAGAAATGGATTTTGTACTTTTTATCTACAAGCTGTAAAGCCATAGATATGTTAATTACTTAAAAGCTAAAAGTTATTTTCCTGTAGCCACTGTACAGGTCTCTTTATTAACCAGTGTTGTATGTGTGCTTTAGTTATCTTCAAACTCAGGGATTGACAACCTGTAGCCTGTGGCTGTTTTTGTATGGCCTATGAGCTAAGAATGATTTTTACATTTTAAAATGGAAGCAAAATATTTTGTGATACGAGAAAATTATGTAAAATTCAAATTTCACCTTTTATAAAGTTTCATGTAATATAGCTGTACTCATTCACTTTCATGTTATTTATGGCTGCTTTTGAGCTACAGCAGCAAAACTGATTAGTTACAGCAGAGATGATATGGCCCATACAGCCTAAGATATTTGCTGTCTGGCCCTTTAAAGAAAATACTTGGCAATCTCTGTCCTAATTGTTGAAGTCCTTAATCTACAAAAGTGGCAGTTTTGTTCATGGACTTTGGAAATTGTTAAAACAACAACAAAAAAATGGCAGTTTTGTATAATTTGAACTAATACATAAAGGGGGATAAGCTTTGGAAAAAAGATAAAAGCTGCGGGGGATGTGTGTGTATGTGTGTAAAAATTGAAAAACTTGAAGGTGTAGAGAGGGGTGAAGTCTGGAACATTATTGAGAATGAGAATGGGAAGTGAATAGGAATAGAGAATAATTATTCAGAAGAATATGAATATCCAGCCTCCCTGCTGGTCTCCAGTTAGGCTACATGGAGAAACCTTGAATCCAAGTTGGGCAATGGATCAAACCTCATACCAGCCAGGAAACTGGTAGAGTCAAGGGGAAAAAAAAAAAGTAGATTACATGGACCAAGAAATTTAGCAGCTCGTTACTGTGGAGTGTAGGGTAAATGGACAACAATTAGATACTGAGGCAGGCACCTGTCATCATTAGCTTTTAATTTTTTTTAATTAATAGATTTTTTTTGAGACAGAGTCTCCCTCTGTTGCCCAGGCTGTAGTGCAGTGATATGATCTCAGCTCACTGCATCCTCTGCCTCCCAGTCTCAAGTGATCTTCCCACTTCAGCTTTCCAAGTAGCTGGAACTACAGGTGTAGGCATGCCCAGCTAATTTTTTGTATTTTTTTGTAGAGACAGTTTCACCATCTGCCCAGGCAGATCTCTAACTCCTGAGCTCAAGCAATCTGCCTCCCACAGTGTTGGGATTAGAGACATGAACCACTGTGCCCAGCTTTGTTGTTAGCTTTTTAAATATATCACATCATGCAGGAGCTGGACTCTAGTTGCAACCTACAGAGGACATGTAGGAAGGAGAGGAAAGGATATTAATATTCTTTCAAGTTCTGGGTACTGTACTGGTGCTTTACACATGTTGCCTCATTTAACCTCCATAACAACCTTTTTAAAAAAACATTGTGATAAAATACACATAATGTAAAAATTACAGTTTTAACTATTTTTAAGTGTACAGTCCAGTATACATTCACATTAAGTACTTTACACATTATTTTGCAACTGTCACCTCTGTCCCTCTGTAGAACCTTTTCATCATCCCAAACTGAAACTCTGTACCCATTAAGCAGTAACCACCTTTTTCCTCCTAACTCCCAGCTCCTGGTATCCACTATTCCATGTTGTTGGCATTATTATCCATAATAACCTTTGATGTAAGGTCAGTATTTTCATTGTATTAATGAAACTGAGATTTAGGTTAAATAATTTACTCAAAGTGATATACAAGTGAGTGAGGAATAGAACATGAACTCAGGTCTGTCTTCCTACAGAGCTAATGATTGTTCTGCCATACTGTCCTCGTTGGCAGTTGTGAGATGAATCTACTTTTAGTCAGTTGACTGTCATGTGATAGACCACTGTATTAGTTATGTATGGCTGTGTAACACATCACCCCAAACTTAACAACTTAACGCAGTAGTAAATGTGTATTATCTCATACTGTTACTGCGAGTCAGGAATCTAGAAGTGGCTTAGCTGGGTGGCTTTGGCTGAGTCTGTCATAAGGTTGCAATCAAGATGAGAGGCAAGGATGTGGTCATCTGGAGGTAGAGAATCCATTTCCAAAATGGCTTAGTCGTGTGCATGTTTGTTGACCAAAGGCCCCAGTTCCTTGTCATGAGGACTTTTCCATAATGTCTTGATGGTGTCCTTCCAAAGCTGATGATTCAGGAGAGGATATAGTGGAAACCACAATGTCTCTCGGCTTCAGAAGTCACACATTGTCATTTCTACAGTATCCTAAGTGTTTACAGAGGATACCTCTGTTTTCTATGGGAGGGGAATGAACAAGGGCATGAATATAAGCAGGCAGGAATAATTGGGGGCCACCTTAGAGCCTGGCAGCCACATACATTCAGAATTACCCTGCAAACAGTTGAAAATGTGGAACTCCAGACTGTAGCAGACAAGTCAGAGCTGGGAAACTTTGGAAGTACTACAGTTGATTACTGAAGCCAGTGGTATGACTAATAAGAATAAATATAGATTCCAGGCTCAGCTACATTTAAAAGAAAAAAGAATATAGAAAGATTTTTCTTGCCCTTTATATACCTGCGCATGTCTTTTGCAAGGATTGAGACAAAATTCCATTGCTTGAGGATACATGTCAGTTTTTGAACATCTTTCAGGGAACTTCCAAATCAAGTCTTTGTCATATGGTTTAGTAATTCTGTTTGAAATGTACTTTAGAGATTTGATGATTGCAAGAGTTAATCTGCTTCACTTGAGAATGGGGCCCAGGTAGTTGACTCCCTCTGATGTTTTCACAGCCCTTCTGTTACAGTGGATGATCTGAAGAACCTTTTCATAGAAGCTGGATGTTCAGTGAAGGCTTTTAAATTCTTTCAGTAAGTCTTTGCTTTCAAGAAATACATTAAAATTTTTTAATATGGTATGCAAATTTTAAAGGTAGTTCAGTGAAGTCTTCTGATGGGGGAAGGAGTTTGGAAGCAAAATTCATTCTAAATACTTTCTGTATTTCTTGTACCATTTTCAGGAAAGATCGCAAAATGGCGCTCATTCAGTTGGGATCTGTGGAAGAAGCAATTCAGGCCCTCATTGAGCTTCATAACCATGACCTTGGAGAAAATCACCACCTCAGAGTTTCCTTCTCAAAATCTACAATCTGACTTTTCTGTGAATTTTTCTCCTAAAACTGGACCATAATTTCAGTAAAACCTTCAGACATAGACTGAAGCAGCTCAAGACCAATTTTGCCTCTTTGACAAAAATAACTCTTTCTGAGTTTGATATTCAAGTATATTTTAAAAATCAATGGATGTTCTTTTTTTCTATATCCCCCCTTGCCAGTCAAAGGTTTCTTTTCCGTTTTTACCATGGTTTCTACGAAAATAACCTTCAGGAAAAAGAAAATCAGGAAACGATGGTTTTTTTTTTTTTCCCCCCAATAATTTTATTCCCTGTATTAAATCAGATTTGAAGAGGATTAACTTTGTTTTAGTTTGAGTCCAGGTCAGCCTTATACAACGTTTCTAAACTCATTTGTACTTAAAAAAAATTTAAACACAGACTTCTAAAATTACTTGATGTAAGTAATTTAAATCACTTATGACCAAGTTATTAACCTTGTGAATCAGAAGTCTGACTCTTGTAGGAAATTATATTCACTTACAAAGTACATCAGATCTTTGCCATATATTGATGGTTATTATGCATAAACACATTGAGTTGTGTTGGAAGCAGATTTATAAACCTGCATGTTTTCTTTGAATGATTTCTTTTTTTCACTGTAAGACACTCCTTTAAATAATGCCTATCTTTAACTTTTTAAGACTATTTGGAAAAATGCAGTGTCTCAGCTGTCCCCAGGGAAATTAAGTGGAATCCAACTCTAGGATCTGTTAAGAAGATGTCAGAATAACTAATAATTTTATTACGAAAAAAATCATGTTTTAAATTTCAAAATGACACTTATTTGTCAAGTAATATGATCTTGGAAAATTTTAAAGAAAAATAATCCTACTTATAAACTACTTTTTTATAATTGTTTTCAGAAAAAAAGTTTACAGTCTTAAGGAAAATATTCAGGTCTATCATATGGTTTGACAGATTTTTTAAAAGTTATTTTTGGTAAGGTCTTCTTTTAGAAAAAAATTAATCTCAAGGGTTTTTTGTACCACTATAATCTCTAATACTCAGAATTACTGTGTATTTACTTAATTTCTTATTATGTGCCTTATTATGTGCTTAAGATACAATAGGTTAGAGTTTAAATATCTGGAAAACTATATTGTGGGCTTGGTAAGCATTTTATTTTTCCTTTCTCTGTTTTGGTAAGGATTTAACATTTTTTTCATTGCAATTTTAAGTGGTTTTCAATAAGTAATAGTTTTTATCAAATTTTTGGTGCTTGGTGCAGAGACGGTGTGGGGGGTGAATGGTTTTGGGAATAATTCAGTGCACACCTGTAGGCCTCTTTACATTGTGACTGATAGGGGTTATTGCATATCAATTTGGGGCTATAGAGTGCAATCTCAGTTTCATCTTTATCACCCATCAGAATTTGTCTCAGGATTACTTGGTTTTTCTCAGTCCTCAAGCAAGAACTTGCTTTTCTTTGTTAATGTGACTTCATTACTGAGTGCCCACATATTTGGAGTATGAGAAGGTGGGTTATTTCTCATGCTCTGTCCCTCTCTTTTTCGTTGAATGTAAGAGTACATTTTAATGTTGCTTCAGTGATTGTATAATGTTAAATGGTTTCTTTTTAATAAGAAACTGCTATTATTCCTTCAATTCTTGATCAGAATTTTTTAAAGCAGAAGTAGTCAAAAGGGTCATTTTTTGTCTACCCCTTTTACACTTTTCAGATTATGAAAGTGTCTCATCTCAACTTTTAAAAGAATAAAGAACATCTTGCTGGGCATGGTGGTGTTCGCCTGTAGTCCCAGCTACAGGCTGAGCCTATAGGCAGGAGGCTACAGGCAAGAGGATCACTTGAGCTCAGGAGTTGGAGGCTGCAGTGCGCTATGATCACATTTGTGAATAGCCACTCCACTCCAGCCCTGGAACATAGTGCAACCCCTTCTCTAAAAATTAAAAATTAAGAAAATCTCAATCTCTTTGCTGTATTCCAGTGATTAATTTGAACATAGGGAGGTTTTTACAGAAGAAATTTTACTGAAAAATAGAGACTGCAAGAGATGATACAGATTATTTAAAAAGCAGAATTCACTCACCACTGAGCAACACTTAGTTGGTAGAATAGAAAGGAAGGATACTAAGTTAAGACTTTTCAAATGGATCAGTTTAGTTCAATAGATAGATATAATCATGTGTGTAGTTGTGGGGTTTTTTTTTTTGTTTTTTTACTTATGAAATAAATTTTTACCTAGACACAAGGGGTATATGAAGGAGGAAAAAAATTTCTTTGCAAAATCTCCCAAAATTTGCTTTTTTTTTTTCCCTTCCACACAGGCACTATTATAATTTTCAGTGCCATGTTAAATTGGGTTATTTCATTTACTTTAAGTTAGGAATTACTGTGTAATTTATTAATTCATGATTCTCATAACATTCAGCATAAGTGTAGCAAAGTTGCTAATAACGGAAGGGAGATCATAGTGATGTTGAATGTAATTTTGAAGTAGGGAATGGCCTTTTAAGTCTGAGAGAGAACATTTGAATCCTTTTCAGGGATTTGTGTAGGGGTGTGTTTGTGTGTGTGTGTGAATGTGTGTGTGTAGATAAGTGTATATACATAAATACACTCTTCTATAGTTGTATATACATATGCACATTACATACATTTTAATTTATTGACAAAATTAACCAAATTAAGATTTGGAGATATGGGGTGTTCTTGTTTTAAAATAGCATGTTTGAAACCATCAGTTTGTGTCTAAAATTAGCTGTAGCACATGGATGTTGTCCATATTAAGCTATTTGCTGTTTGAATTATAGAGGTCTACAGTATTTGTGTTGGCATAGTTTTTGTAAAAAAGATTAAAAATCAGGATGGTGGAAAAACTAGATCTGTGTATTTCTGTTTTGGCATGCATTTATTCAGTATCTTCTAGCAATGGTTAATTTTTCTCTGTTGATCTACCATAGGATCCTGTTTTTAAGTTTATTTACTTTATTTTTAAGGAGTATTGTCATCACTTTTCAAGGTGTCTTGACTTCTACACAAAGTATATATATTCAGGACTTTAAAAAATAGCAGTACACATTTAACAGCAGCAAATTACACCAAAATGATTTACTTTGAGATGTGAATAATTTGCATAGCAGTAAAATGTGCTTTGTGTAACATACAAATAGAAGAATGACCCAGTATCTTAACTGATACTTACTGGAGAGTATCAGAATTACCCAGTAGCTCTTACAGAATGCCATAAATTCTTTAAGACTAAATATTGTAATCAGTTATTTGAAGTAATGTTTCTGATTTGCTGTTAAAAGTTGCCGAGCTCAGTTTTTGGAGATACCGTTTCTGCCTGCCTGTTTCCTTATGAGAGCAAGGCCTTCTTTGGTTCCAGCTAGTATGATGATCATGGATTCTGCTTTAGTTGATGAGAAGTGGTTCCTATGAACGCCTCTGTTTAATTTCTTTTTATTTTATTTTATTTTTTGGGGTCTCGCTATATTGCCCAGACTGGTCTCCAACTCCTGGGCTCAAGTGATTCTCCTGCCTCCACCTCCCCATAGTGCTGGGATTACAGGCATGAACCATCACGCCTGGCTGTCTGTTCTTTTCAGTGTCTCCGTGCCATCAGACAGCAATGCTTATATGTTTAGCATTTTGTCATGCAGTTTCTCTTCTGTTCCCACGAGATATTTTCGGACAAAAAAATGACAAACTCAAAAGTCATATGTTTTTCCCCACCTATCTCTTAGAAAACCTAATGTGTGTACTGCTATTTTTAAAACCAAAAAGAGACAGCATGACGATGCATAAAGCATTTTTCTTAACCTTTCCTTTGTCTTGATCTGTTGTTAACAAGAATAAAACTGCCAGACTTAAAATACTCTACTATTGTGCTAAAAGAAATACAATTTAGATTGCACAAAATTTGAAAATATAACTCTGCTGTCTTTTAAAAGAGTTGTGTTGTTATCTACAAGACTATTAGCAGTCTTTTTTCAGAGCAAATTTTAACAGCTGGTTGTGAGTGGTTTAAAATATAGAAAATATTAAAATCTTAAGTTTGAAGGGTTTTATAGTGGGAGAAAAAAACAGGACCAAAGTTTATGTGCCTTCTTCAGTAGTCTTAATTGACCTTTTCTTCCTATTTGAGACTAAAGTAGTATCAGTATTCTCGTTTTCAGGAAATATGTACTATATAGTTTTAAAAGAATGTCATCCCACCAACTATCTATCCAAGCAAAGAATCGTAACTGTAGAAATGAAGTCTCAGTTACACTTTTGCCTTTATCACATAATATTCATTATAGAGCATCGTGCAGGTCCAAGAATAGAGCTGCTTGAAATCTTTGTGGTAGTTTCCTTAGTTTTTGTAACCTGAGGCATATGTTCCAGAGAACAGGGATATTTGTCTGGTCCAGTGACCTTGGTGATCATAGTCATAATTGAAAGATGCCTAAGGCATGCTTAAATCAGCATCGTCAACTGATTTGTTGTTGTTGTTGTGTTATTTTAACTTCTTGGATCTATGTAGTAGTTGTAGTAACAAATATTTAAATAGCTATTTTTTTGATGCCATTAAAAAAAATCATACTCTGGCCTTTTTTTCCCCTTACCATTGTTTCCCAGATCTTTTAAAAATTCATCCCATATCCAGAAAGTACCAATTATAAAGATTGCTGACCAAGCAAAGTTTTGCATCAAAATGTCACCTCATTGCTCTGACCAAAGACTGACTGTTGTGGTTTTAACTCCTCTCTGTGAAGCATTTTGCATTTTCCCCAAGCTCCTTTCTGAAAGAAGACCCAGTGCAGAGCGGCCTTTACTTTCTGTTGCCTACTGTTGAATAGACTACTTAGAGAAAATGGGAGTTACAGTGTGAACAGAATGGATTAGGATGACGAGTTTGATGGGCATTTCCAGTACTGTATCTAAGAAAAAAAAAAATAGCACAGCTAGGAGCCTCTGACATTGTCTGGTGTTTTACATGGTCTGTTCATCAAAGTTCCCCTTTTCAGTTTGTAAGAATGTTCATCTAACAGAAGAAAATGCTGTAAATATTTGTAACAACATTTTTTTTTTAACAAGGCCAAAAAAGAAAAAAAAGGTTTTTGGGAACAAGTGAACTTACAAAGTGGTTTTTATATAAAACATCAATTGTCTTGTATATTTTGGATAAGCAGCAGTACCAGCTTTCATTTGTAACAGAGTTTGTGGCATTGGAAAAAAAGGATTCTGTGATTGTTGAAGTGAATTATGTTATAAATGCAAAGAGACGATAAAATATTAAAAACCATATTTTCTAAATGCGTAGTGCATGGTTAATTCAAGCTTCTGTACACTACAGTATATTCCATTTTCGTTCAGTTTGTATATTTGCTGACTATTACTTGATATCTCTAATCTCTTTTCCTAACAAATATAGCATTGTAGCATGCCTTTTAATAAATGTCATGACATCTGTACTCTCTTAAAATTTTTCTGTGTTCTTGTCTGTACTTTGGGTTTCCCCTTGTCTTACCTGTAATTCTAATGATGTCCTATTTTCTTTTCTTTTCCATAGCCATCCATCTAAACGTGTCATGGTTAGAGAATAGCGAGCACAAACAGTGTTCAAAATGGGAAAAACACAAAATCTTCTAACTGTCTCTGTCTTCATTTAGGAATAATTCTCATTTTGAGGAGCAAAGTGCTTTCCTAATCTTTTTATGACCCACCTTCTCTGGCACCGCCCTGTAATGCCGGGGCATGTTAGCATGCTTTCTTGCTTGCACACTCACTCTCCTTTTTCTTTCTCTCTTTTTCCCCATATTTGCAGTGCCAAACTACAATTGGAACACTATTTCCAGTTTTGTTCAGTAGTTGGCTTCCCTATGGCATTAGTATACATACACTTTGAGACACAAGGTGTGATCTCAAACCAAGTTTGTGTCCCTTTTAAAAAGGTAACACAGATACCAGCTGATGCCACCTTCCTTTTCCTTAGACAAACATTTTACTTCTCAGATCTTTAAAGAATTGTTGGATTGCAGAAGTCTAGACTTAGCATTCGTTGTATATTTTAGCTTGGAAGTGGGAATTTATTTTGAATAGAATAGAAAATTAGGTAATCACTACTAATCTTTGCTGGCTTTTACTTGTAAAATCTGTGGTCTCCATAAATACTACTAGAAAAATAAATATTGATGTATTTTTGCATGAGGCATTTTTATCAGGAAAAGATAACTGTATGACTAAATGAGGCCTGTATAAACTCGATTGACTGTGAAATGCTTATTTACTCAGCAGAGGGGTTATAACCATCATTAAGAGTCATGCAGTGACCCAAGAGACCACCTAGTTCAATTTCCAGTTAACAGCAAGGAAGCCCAGGTCTCTGTGACTTACTCCAGTGCCCTCTATTGCACCCAGGTGTTGCAGTTTCATGCTACCGAGTGCTGCTAAGGTTATGATCTTGAAGTTCTGTACGCAGTATTGGAGTGCTTATGTTTTCTCCTGAGAGCCACGTGATCATACGTCACTGCAACTTAAAGACATTGAATAAGTGGTGAGAGTGTTTCTGATGAAGGGTAAAAATGCCTTATCTACTTCTGAAAAATTTTTAAATGTCATTTCACATTTTAAATTTGAGAAAACTAACAAAAAACGTAGTTACTATTTGTATGAGTTTGCTAGGACTGCCATAAAAAAGTCCCACAGACTGGGTAGCTTAGACAGCAGAACTGAGTTTCTCACAGTTCTGGAGACTCACAGGCCATGATTCAAGGTGTCAGCAGTGTTGATTTCTTCCAGTGCCTTTCCTTGGTTTGTCGATAGCTGTCTTTTCCTTGTGCCTTCTGCAAGCTCTTCTGAGTGTGTCTCTGTCCTAATCTCTTCTTATAAGGACATCAGTCAAAGATTAGGGCTCACTCATATTATCTCATTTTGCTCTAATTCTTTAAAGAGTCTGTCTCAGAATATAGTTACATTCTGCGATTCTGGGGATTAGGACTTCAACACAGGAATTTGGGGTGGGGGGACACAAAATTCAGCCCCATAGCACTGTTTTATTCATTCAGTTCACCGAGTACTGATTGTACCGGCGCTTGAGCTAGGTGTTGGGAAAAATACAGAGTTAAGCACATGGTGACTTACCTTTTAGAAATGTATAATGTAGTAGAAATGTCAGCCTAAATCCACAAATTAAACACAATACTTTTGGACTCTTGCCTTCAATAGGAATCCCCAAAAATGGATCAAGAGGCCTCTCTGAGGCACTTCTCAGAATACATACGGCTATAACTATCCTACAGCTAGTTGTGAATATGTAGGAATGTAGACCCTGCCATAATTTCTCCTTTTTACTCTTAGAGATAAATAGCCATATATTTCTAAGACAAATGCCATTACTTAAAGGACAATTGTACAAATAAGAGGACGTCGTCAAACAAGCTGTGCCCAATATTTAATGTCTAACATTTGTGATACTTGAACTGGGATGCCAGGTTAGGTATAGTTAGGAGTGATAGACCTATTTGTAGTCTTACTGTTTCTACATCAAAGCTTTTTTCCTGTTGTCTGTTTCAACCTGTAATGGGAATTCATCACTTTATGTGTTTTTATCAAAAGAATTTATGCTGAAGTGGTAAAACTAGTAATAGTTTTGCTGGAACTACCACATTCTGGAGCCACTGGGTTCTATGTAGAGTTTCCAATTCTACTAGTATAAAGAAACCAGAAAAGTTAATGATTCTAATGTTCCTAGCAGATTCATATGTCTATTTTTCAAATTTTCTTTCTGTTTTTGTTTTGAGACAGAGTCTCACTGTGTTGCCCAGGCTGAAGCAGCCTCAAACTCGTGGGCTCAAGCCTCCCTTCTGCCTCAGGCTCCCAAGTAGGTGGGACTACAGGTGTGTGCCTGGCTAAGTTTTTTACTTAGTGTAGAAAGTGGGTCTCACTTTGTTCCTTAGGCTAGTCTTGAACTCCTGGGCTCAAGCGATCCTCCCCTCTCAGATTACAGTACGAAGCACTGGGATTACAGGGGTGAGCCACTGTGCCCAGCCTTCTCAATTTTTCTATCCCTATATTTGTTACAAGGATATAGACAGGGTAACAGGAAAAACTCAGTATTTCTTTGGGAATAAATTGCCCTCTAATCACTTGATAAGCACCTCCATCATTATTCTGTGCCTAAAATTAGAGAATTGTCTGCTAAGTCCTTGATCCTGCAAAATACAAATTCACATTCTAACCTGTTAAGAGATTGTCTTCAAAATAAAACTGGTATTAACTACATTGATGTTAGACAAAGTACACTTTAGGGCAAAAGGCATTATTAGGGATGGATTTCATAATGATAGAGTTCTATAGTAGAATATAGTAATGCAACTGAAAAAAAGCTCATTCCACTGCATGGAAGAACCTCACAGATGTGGTGTTGAACCAAGGAAGCCACGCACAAACACATACTGTATAATTTCATGTACATCAAGTTCAGAAACAGGATAGTTACCTTTGGGAAGGAGGTAATTGAGAGAGAGTATGAAGTGGGTTTCTGGTATCTGGTTAATGTACTTTGTACCAGTTACCCAGGAGTGTTTTAAAAATTACTATAATTGAGCAAGGACCTATCAACCAATTCTTTTCTTAGGTCAGCAGATTATTCTAGCCGATAAGTAAGGCCCTCTTATAAAGAACCCGAGATACCATGGACTGAGTTTCATCATGAAACTCTCCTACATATGCATATATTGCATTTCCCTGACCATGGCATATCTATAGGAAAAATATTTCACTGACCAAAATAAAAAACCTGTTATCAAGTAAATTTTACCCTTCCAGACACTTTTACATCCAACTAGATTGAGAAAGATTTAATTAATGTGTTTTAGTTTTGGTTTTGCCACCGTAACTCTGATCTGGTGGGCTATTTGACATCTAACCCCTAATATATTTCCGTTTTATTTTTTGAGACAGGGTCTCCCTGTGTAGCCAAGGCTAAGTGCAGTGGTGCCATCAACAGCTCACTGCAGCCAACCTCGCAGACTCAAAGCAGTCATCCCATCTCAGCCTCCCAAGTAGCTGGGACTGTAGGCACCCACCACCACACCCAGCTAATTTTTTATTTTTTTTAGAGATGAGTTCTCACTATGTTGCTCAGGCTAGTGTCAAACTCATGGACACAATCCATCCTCCCCCCTCAGCCTCCTGAAATGCTGAGATAACAGGAGTGTGCCACTGCACCTGGCCTCCTATTTTATCACAAGAAGCAAGAAAGACCTACCTAGGTCTCTGGCATCCTAAGAGAAGACTTTATAAAAGTTAAGAATCTTTTTTTTTTTTTTTTTTGAGACTGAGTTGCTCCATCGCCCAGGCTGGAGTGCAGTGGCACAATCTTGCCTCACTACAACCTCTCCCTCCCCGGTTCAAGCAATTCTCCTGCCTTACCCTCCCAAGTAGCTGGGATTACAGGCATGCGCCACCACACCCAGCTAATTTTTGTATTTTTTAGTAGAAACAGGTTTCATCATGTTGGCCAGGGTGGTCTTGAACTCCTGTGATCCACCTGCCTTGGCCTCCCAAAGTGCTAGGATTACAGGCACGAACCACCACCCAGCCAAAAGTTAAGATTTGTAATACACAAGTATTACTATGATAAACTTCCACGTACCCAGTACCCAACTGCAACTAGTGGCCAATTTTGTTTAATCTGTTCTTCACCCCACTCCTAGGATTACTCCAGTCGCTCAGACTGGAGTGCGGTGGTGTGTGGTCTTGGCTCACTGCAGCCGCCGCCTCCCAGGTTCAAGCAATTCTGCCGCAGCCTCCCGAGTAGCTGGCACGCACCACCACACCTGGCTATCCTAGGAGTTCTTATAATTTCATCTGTAAACATTTCAGTATAGAAGTCCATACATACACTGCAGTTGATAAAGGCTTTTGCAGTTTCCCTTTCCATCTTTTTTTTTTTTTTTTTTTTGGTACTTTGTTGAAGAAGAAACAGCTCTTTAGTCTGTAAAATATTCTGACGTGAATTGTGCTGATTACATGTAAATCGAGAAGAGCTCATTCAGATTTTTTTTTTTTTTTTGGTACTTTGTTGAAGAAGAAACAGCTCTTTAGTCTGTAAAAAATTCTGACGTGAATTGTGCTGATTACATGTAAATCGAGAAGAGCTCATTCAGATTCTGTTTTTCTTTTCTTTCTCCCTGCCTCCCCTTGCCCCCCACCTTTTTTTTTTGCCCAGGCTGGAGTGCAGTGGCCGGATCTCAGCTCACTGCAAGCTCCGCCTCCTGGGTTTACGCCATTCTCCGGCCTCAGCCTCCCAA